CCACCTCTCTTTGCCGCTTGCCCAACTGTTTCCTGTTTTGGTTATTATTTTCTTCGCCTTGTCACCGAAACTGAACTGGTCTATTATCGTAAAGGCGGACAAATAAACGGACGCGGTACTAAACAAAAAAACAAACTAAAACTAATTAATTTAGCTTCACTATCGTTCAGCTAATACTGTAGAAATTCCTGACACTCGTTCCGTCAGCGGTTTTTCAGGCAGCCGCCATTTGTGTGCATCTTGGGTTTTGACTTCCTACTAATCTAATTGGGGACAAAAACACTTACGACTATTGCATTTTGCTAAGGAAAAAATAATCTCCAATCGAGGACTTTACGGAGAAAACCCTCTTTCACAGATAAGATGCTACTCTACTTTAAACTGTTATGAAGAACGCTTCTCTCCCATATCAAGCCGCAGGCTGTGCGCAATCTCGCTTGCACCGTGACTGCCCTGCGTACATCTATACCCGAGGTTTGGGCAGCCTTTCCTAGAGATAATCGAGGGAAAATCTTTACAAAGTTTCGCTGCTAAACTTTCTCGGCCATTTGGGGGGGGGGGAGAGCCCTTATGACCAGTTGTAGTTCGACTTTTAACCCGCCCTTCTGCTTTGAAAATGTTTCAAAGGGGGCGTGCGACAGCTCTAGTGTACGTCTCGTTCGTGTAACAGGAAATAGATTAGCTACAATTTTTTAATTTTGTGATTGTATTAGGGTATTTCACCCAGTGTAAACCGGATTCAAAAAAGAACAGTAATGCTCCCTGAACTGTTTCCTCCCTGACGCTCATTGGCTCACGCGGACCAAGTTCTAGGACCCGTAGTGGGGAGTCACAGACCTGGTGGCGCATAGCACGGCAATATTTGAAAAAAGACTGTCAACAATCAAATTTTTGCCTGAACTAGTAACATAAATACGCACAAGGGACGTTTTGGCCAAAGTCCAAAACTACCTTAAGCCGGTGCGATTTTACCTTAAATGCGTTTTATCTTCGAAATATTAATTGACAAAAGTAAGGTTCATGTGTAGTGGTTACGCGACGTAGTGGTTACGAGTCGCCCGAAATGAGCCTCCACTTTATCGGCCTTCAGAAGCCAAAAACTTAAAATATCAATTGAAGTGTGTGTGTTGTTATGTGTGTTCAACATTTGTAAGAATATTTCAGCCATTGGATACGGATTTTAATTTCGTTTGTGTCCCAAACTTTAAATATAAGAGAGGGCTGCAGAAGGAACAACAGATCAAGACTAGCCCACCGACAACTTGAGATATAAATCAAGTCCCGACGAGTCCTGACGAGATATTTACAGTGGACTGTCAACTAACTGTCGCCGCGACAGTTATCGAAGGTACTGTGTTCGTTGCTGCCGTGCTCCACTCTCCCCAGGTCGAGCCGGCAGTCAGT